TCTCACAGTCTCTCTTGCCCGGGCTGGCTTTGAACCGCGATCCTCAGATCTCAGCCTCCTGAGTAGCTAGGATTACAGGTGTGAGCCACCAGCGCCCGGCTTTCTCTTTCCTTTCTTGATCAAACTATGAACTCTTTGTTCACACAACACACTGTAAAATTATTTGACTTTCACCTGATTGGGAGGCTTAATATATTTAGATTTTCCCCAGTTTTTTTTTCCTTCCAATATTGAACTCAGAGCCTCTCACTTGCTCAGCTAGCACTCTACTGCTTGAGCCATGCCCCTAGCTCAGTTTTTGCTGTGATTGTGTGTGTGTGTGTATGTGTGTGTGCACTAGTACTGGAGCTTAAACTCAGGGCCTGGGTATAATCCTTTAGCTTTTTCACTCAAGGCTGGTACTGTACCACTTGAACCACATGAACCACAGCTCCAGTTCTGGCTTTTTTTCTTCTGGTGGTTATTTGGAGATAATAGTCATAATAGTCTCATGGACTTTTTGCCCTAGCTGGCCTCAAACTTTGATCTTGGTCTTCGTTTCTGGAGTAGCTAGGATTGCAGCCTTGAACTTCTCACTTCTTCTTCTTCTTTTTTTTTTTTTGAGACTGTATAATCCAGGTTCGTCTTGAACTCTAAACGGTCTTGCCTCAGCCTCCTGAGTAGTACTGGTATTACAAGTACATATTACCATCTAGCTCTGTTCTCTTTTTAGACCGAATAATACAATCTGGTGCTATATAAATCATAACCATAAAGACAAATTTGAGCCCTGAGACTCAAAGAATTATTCGGATAAGCCAGACATGTTTACATTATTTTTTACGTTACAGAAGCATAAAATACAAAAAAATTAAAGTCATCTTAGAGAATCTTTGGAACCCTCCTTCCTCCTCAGTGCATCTGCTCATTTTAGGGAAACGTGGATTTTTTCAGGGCTGAATTTATGTGAGGAATGAGGGAAAATGAAAAGCTGGATATGATGACTCACGGATGTCAGACCTGAGCCACTGAGCACATGGTAGCTCTCTCTACTTCAACCAGTGGTAAAAACATAAGAAAATAAGTTCAGGAGTGGGCACAGTGGATTGCACCTGTAATCCCAGCTTTGAGGGAAACATAGGTAGGAGAACTGAAGTCCCAAGGCCAGCCCTGGGCAAAAACTCAAAAGCCTACCAGAGAAAGCATAGGAAGCTTAAAGGTGGGTGAGATTAATGTGAAATTCCAAATATCCTGGAGCACATTCCCTTCCTTAGCTGGAGATAGCAAGTTAGTAGTCAGTATGCCATTGGAGAGAGCAAATGGACTGAGAATGTGGATAAAGAAAAGTGGTGGTGAACATTTTTCCTGGAGAGTGGCAGTTAGAAAAGGTTGGGGGTGGGGATGAATGGGAATAAGGAACTAAAAACAGAGGCAAAATTCAAAAAGAATGACAAGATCAACACAAACGTACTTAGAATTCAAGCTAGAGGAAGATTGAAAAGAGTTAATGATATGTGGTGATTAAGCAGTAAGCACAACTTCCGTGGAGTGTGAGAGCAAAGTCTGGTCACCAGTCTAAGAGCCAGGGAGGGAGTTAATGCAGCCAACAATTCAAAACCGTTTTGCTTTCTTGTGAAAAATGCAGCCAGAGGGAAAAGCCAGAGGAGGGACCTGAAGCTAACATCATAATACTGACCATCTAAGACAAAGGGTGGCAGGAAGAAATGTGAATAGATGACTTAAAAAATAGAGATCCTTAAGCCAGGCGCTGGTGGCTCACACCTGTAATCCTAGCTACCCAGGAGGCTGAGACTTGAGAATGGCGGTTTAAAGCCAGCCCAGGCAGGAAATCCAGGAGACTCATCTCCAATTAACCACCAGAAAACCAGAAGGGGCGTTGTGGCTCAAAGTGGTAGAGCACCAGCCTTGAGCAAAACAACAACAACAACAAACAACAAAAACGCAGGGATAGAAAACCGAGTTCAAGCCCCACGACAGACATTATGAACAAAGGCTGGAGGAGGCCGAAGTAGGTTGACTTTCGCCCAGTCCCCCCGTCACAGGGACACCAGGCTTGGGGCTGAACGAATTTTGGAAAGACTGAGAAGGGCCAACACAGGTGGATCCTGGGACATCCCGAAGCTTTCACGGACACCGAGGCTCTTTCACACGCGGAGTCTCCGGGCGAGCTTTCCTTCTCAACGGATCCGTGGCCTGGGAGGGAAGGCTCCAGTGTGCTCCGGTGCAGGTGCCCGGTCCTCCCGGGGGAGGAGGGGGCCCCAGCCCGACGCCGCCCGGCGGAAGCGCCGCTGCCATTGGCCCGGCGGTGGCAGCTTTTACCTGCGCGGAACCCCCGGGGCCCCAAGCGCAAAGTCCACGGCCCCGGGGCCCAGGAGTCGGCGGCTGGTAGCGCGTGTGAGCCGCGCCCTCGGCCAGGGAAGATGCCCCTGGGGCTGCGGGGAAAGAAGAAGGCCAAGTCCAAGGAGAATGCCCCGCTGGTGGAAGGCGAGAAGGCGGCGGGCGCCAGCGGGCAGAGCCTCCCGGGGCCCCCGGGCCCCGCACGCAAGCTGGTCTTCCACGCGCAGCTGGCGCACGGCAGCCCCACGGGCCGCGTGGAGAACTTCGCCAGCATCCAGGAGCTCTACGCCAAGATCGCCGGCGTGTTCGACATCTCGCCCGCCGAGGTAAGGCCAGGTGCCCGGCCTCCTCCCGCCGCGTCGGCGCCCGCGGGCCCAGGCTGCTGGGGCCCCCGCGTTCGCGCAGCCCCGGGGCGCACGCAGGGTGGAGTCCATCGGGGAGGTGTTCCGGGGAGGGGAGAGGGGTAGGCAAGAGCAAAGTCACCCGTGCTCGCGGATCTGGTCTGTGGGGGGACTTTGGGGGACGTGATGACTTCTCTCTGTTAAGGTCCCAGATTCAGACCTTCCAGGTGTGGGTGAGCACCTGCCCACAGTCCAGAGGTGGTGGGGCGGATTCACGTCCTCCACCCTACCTGAACTTTACTCCAGACTCTCCATTTCCTGGGCAGGCGTTTAAATATGTTCAAATAGATAATGTATAATCTATTCATTTCTATATATGCTTCTGCACATTTCTATGTATATGTGTATGTATATGTATGTATATGTGTATATGTATATGTATGTATAGATAGTTGTGTTGGTTCTGGAACTCGAACTCAGGGCGTGGGTACTGTTCTTTAGCTTTTTCTAATCAAGTCTGGTGCTGTGCCACTTGAGCCACACTTCCAGTTCCAGCTTTTTGCTAGTTAACAGGGGATAAGAGTCAGACTTGTCTGCTTAGGCTAGCTTCAAACTGCAATCCTCAGATCTCAGCCTCTAGAATAACTAGGATTAAAGACACGAGTTCTCACAGCCTGACTCAAGGGAAAATAAATACTTGAAGTGCCAACCGATGACATCTAGATTAAAGGAGGAAATGGAAATGGCTTCCAGGTGCTACCAGAAGGTGCCTCCCTTTGCCCCTGGTCGGACATTTTCAATAGAACTGGAAACTCTTTGGGATTATTTCCAAGAAGTTTAAACAGCTGGGTTCTTATTCCAAGGGGATTTATTTCTGGGAATCATACCTAGCTACTTGAGACTAGTTATCACAGTTTTCATGAGAAAGGTCATCATATTTTCAAAAAGGGACTGAGGAATTTAGATTATGCGTATGCCTGGAACTGGAGTTTGATACAGGTGTGACCTTAAAAGCTGAAGTTTATGAGGACTTTTGTGGCTATTTTATATTTACTCAAGAGATCTTAACAACTTTAAATACACATGTAAGAGGTTAGCTCAAGAAAGTAGTTTGTGTGCTGGGAAGGTGGTTCAATTGGTAGAGTGCTTGCCTTACATGCATGAAGACCATGGGTTTAATTCCTCAGCACCACAGAAGCAGAAAAAGCCAGAAGTGGTGCTGTGGCTCAAGTGGTAGAGCGCTAGCCTTGAGCTGAAGAGCTGAGGGACAGTGCCCAGGCCCAGAGTTCAGGCCCCACGACCGGCAAAAAAAGAAAAAAAAGAAAGTAGTTTGTTCACGATTTTTAGGAAAAGCACAGGAATTTATTGTGCTGGATTCCCAGGCATGCAGAGTGGACTTTTGAGTGGCAAAAAATGGCATTGGTTATCTATCTGTTCTTTAGTGTTTTGTTATGTTTTGTTTTTAAATTCATTGTTTATTGGATCTGTTCAAGCGAAATTAAGGTCAAGGCAAAATTCCAAGAAGAGACAAAAGAGAGCTCAAAGTGTAACTCTTTGTTCTTTCTGTGCTTCAGGATCTAAGGGGCAAGTTGTGAATCCATTCTGTGAATTATTTATATTAGCTCAAGATCGTTATAACTGTATTTTAGGTTTCAATTTAAAAAAACACTTTTGTGTGTGTGTGCTGGTCCTGGGACTTGAACTCAGGGCCTGGTAACTGTCATTCGAGCTTTTTCACTCAAGACTAGCATAGCATTCTCCCACTTGAGCCTCAGATCCACATCGTGTTTTTTTTATGGTTGATTGTAGATAAGAGTCTTCTGGACTTGTCTGCCAAAGCAGGCTTTGGACCATGATCCTCAGATCTCAAACTCCTGAGTACCTAAAATTACAGGCAAGAGCCACTCTGCCACTTAAAAAGCACTTTAGAAGGAATAATTATCATTGATCTTCTCTAGGTGAGGTAAATGAGTGGTTAAAGTGATAAACTTGAATGTGGAGCTGGGACCTACAATTTACATAGTAGACAAGAGATCTTGAGCACGTTTAACGTTCTCAGTTTCAGCCCCTTGTAAAGCAGGGACAAGGGTATCTACTTTAAAGGGTATTGTAAAGACAGAGTTTATACATACGAACCTAACAGATTAGATAGCGTATTATCTGTACTTTACAAATTGCAGTTGAGAATATTGATTTGTATGAGTTAATCTAGGGACTGAGTTGCAGAGATTGTGCCTTTACCAAGGTTGAAAGAAAAAATCAGGGCTGATATCTATTTGTTTGTTTATTTGCTTATTTATTTAGTGCTGGTCATGTGACTTAAACTCAAGACCATGCACTGTCTTCGAGCTTTTTTTCTAACACCTGAGTCTCAGCTCTACTTTTTGATGATTAATTTGGAGATATGTGTCTTAAGGACTTGTATGCCCAAGCTGACTTCAGAGATCCTCAAATCTCAGACTCCTGAATAGCTCTGATTACTGACTGGTGTGAGTCACTGACTCCCTGCTCAGGAATGACATTTAAACTTAGATCTTCAGATATCTAAGCTTGTGAGCTTGATAGAAGACTTAAGAACTTTAATTGGCTCTCAGGTTACCAGGGACTCCAGTTTTAGTTCATTATTAAAAACTACATTAACAGTTTTCCTCATCATTATGGCATTAATTTGAGCTCAAGGTATGATTTTATTAGGTCACTGAATCCTCAGTAGCTATTATTATTATTATTTTGTTGGTCATGGGGTTTGAATTCTGGGCCTGGGTGCTGTCCCTGAGCTCTTCAGCTCAAGACAAGTGCTCTACCATTTAAGCTACAGCCCCACTTCCAGTTTTCTGGTGGTTTATTGGAGATAAGAGTCTCACAGACTTTTCTGCCTCACTGGCTTTGAACTGTGATCCTCAGAGTAGCTAGGATTACAGGTGTGAGCCACTGGCACCCAAATGCAATTATTGTTGTTGTTATTGTTATTATTATTATTGTGCCATTTCTGGGGCTTGAACTCAAGGCCTCAGTGCTGGCCCTATGTTTGCTCAAGGCTGGTACTCTATCATTTGAGACATAACTCTATTTCTGGCTTTTTGCTAGTAAATTGGAGGTAAGCTCTCATGATTCCTTGCCTGGCCTGGCTTCAAATTTAGTCCTTAGATCTCAGCTTCCTGAGTAGCTAGGATTACAGCCATGAACCACTGGCATTTGGCCCAAGTTTTATTTATTATTAATATCTCTGCTCCACAGAGAAAAAACTGTTTTGGACTCCAATTTTTTTTCTTCAAAATTACATATAGCAAATGGCACAGCCTGGATTTAAGCCCAATTTTTCCCCCTTGACTCCAAATTCCATGGAGCTATTGTTTTCAAGCTTTTTCAGAGTGACTTAGTAATAGTTTGGCAGTCATATTCAATGTTTTCAGTTTCCAGTACACTGACTTGCAAAATAAGATTCCCAGATAGTGAAATAAAAGTGTTTTAGTGTGCATTATTAGAGTTTGCAAACAAACCCTTATAACCCTGATATATGTATATTTGCTGGTTGTTAATATAATATTACTTCAAGTTTTCCATCTGGATTAGGAAGAGTTAACTAAGTACATCCAGGATAAAGTATTGGCCATCATTGTGTAGTATAACTTTCTCAGTAGTTAGTTTTGAAGCAGAAGTTATTTGTTAACATCAAATGCACATCAGGAAGCCAGGCATAGTGATGCATATCTATACCCAACACTCAGAAGTCTGAGGCAAGATGATGATGAGTTTGCTAACCAGGCTACATAGTGAGACCTTCCTCAGAAAAACAAAACAAGAACCCCAAAAATTCATTGTAGAGAATTCCATTCTTTATCTCATTCTTTATACAAGGGGGATAATGAAATTAGTTGTTTTATTTCCTTCCTCCTGCTCCCCCAGGGCTTGAACTCAGGGTTCTACCACTTAAGCCACACACCACTCTCTACCTTTTCTGAGTAGTTTATTGGAGCAGAGTCTCACAGACTTTCTTGCCTGGCTTCAAATTGAGATCCTTAGATATCAACCTCTTGAGTAGCTAGGATTATAGGTCTGAGCTACCAGTGCCTGCTATGAAATCTTTTTTGAGATGCCAGTGTGTACAAAACAAAACAAAAAATTCCCCATTTAAGATAATTGAGCAGATTTCTCAGACATCTTCTCTTCCCTCTAGATGTTTGTTAGGACAAAAATAACATTATGTAAAGAGCTTTCTACCCTTTACTGAGGACAAAGGAAAACATTTGACAGATTCAAGCAAACTTACTGGGGTCTATAACTCCCAACTATGCCAGACATGTAGTCTCTCTGGTGAAGGCACTCCATCCTCTCCAGAATTCTGTGTTATAGTTGGGCTGAATGAGGATCTGAGAAGTTAGCAGTTTACCCAGAATCTCCACACTCATTTGTGACACAGGATTTGGTTTGGGGTTTCCTGACTCCAGTCTGACTCCAGTCTCCCAGCTGGGAGATTCTTAGTAACTGCATTCAAATTCCAGATACCAAACTGGGTAAAATTCTTTTTAATCAAAATAGGTCCCCTCCCCCAATTCAACCACAAAAATATTGAATTGCCTCAAAAAGCTGCAAATGTGAAACTGATAGTTGTGGATCGCAACAATTCCCTGAAGGAAATGCTGATGAAGCGAGTGAATCATGGAGGATTTGGTACAAGTGCTGGTTGCCTGCAGTCTATTGTGATCATTACATTGAAACAGATGGTCAATTATGCAAAAAACTCTTATAGCTGATGTCTTTTTTTTTTTTACAAAGCTACCAATTGAGCAATTTAGTAAAAAAGAAAATAATCTCATCTAAAACAGTTATAAACACAGAGACACTTTTTCAGAACGTTTAATATCACCTTCTAAAATATTCAGGTTACATAAGAATTGAGTCATTGTTTATGACTATAGTTCTTGAGCTCTTGAGCATTGCTAAGAATTTTGTTTCTGAGTGTTCCTAGCTACTCAAGGAGGCTG